GCGGAATGCTCAGCCATTCTCCTGCCCCAGTGACAAAGAATGAGGAAATAAACTATTGGTTTTTTAAAACACATATTCAAACCATTCAATTGTATGGCATGTGACTTATATGTCAATGAAACAGTTTTAAAAGTCTCAGATATCTACCAATGGTTATGAAAAGTATCTGAGTTCTACCAATGAAAGGAAAATGGCATACTGAAAGTAATTCACCAAGAAAACTCACCACTCCACTTTCTGCACACACTGCCAGAGGCTGGCTCTCCTCACAGGTGATTCATGGCCTTGTTAAAGGCACCCAGAAGACTGGGGACCCACGGACATCAAATGCCTCCTTTCCAGTGCTCTGATTTGGACTGCTTGCATTTATTATCACAAAAATGGGACACTGTTGTCACAGTAAGAAGCTATTTTATCCCCTCATTTGGAAGAAAGTTATATGTAACTCACTGACGACAATTAGGTTCTTTTTTTAAAAAAAAATAGTGCTATTTGCAAATACTTCACATAGCATACAATTAAATCATTCTATCATCGTTCAAAGAGTTGTGCAGTAATCACCACCATCAATTTATTTCTCATGTCCATCATTGCTAGCACCACCACCACCACCTCCTCCACCTCCGAACTAGTAAGATAAGTCAAAAGCTATTGCTACACAGACCAGGGAGGTGAACAGTCTTGTTAGCTTCATCATACGCCCTCATGATATGCTTGTGTCCTTCGGGGAAATCCATACAGATTCCCACATCGGAGTGCCAAAAATACAGTTGCTATAACCTTATGACCTGACCTTTCTTGAATGTGACTGGCCCAGCAGATCCCTTCAGAAGCCATTGTTTTGATTAGATTTTTTTTAAGGTACCGTCATGAAACTAAAACAAATGTATGACTGAAAAGCTTGTCTACAGCCATCCCCAGATCACAGGACATATTTCAGCACATTTTATGTGAAATAAACCCATGCATGTATAAACTGAATCTCCGGTAGCAATGCTTTCTCCCTTAGCCCGCATGCTCTCCCTGTGACTTGGTAGACTGGCAGTCTGAGTGTTCCTTGCGCATAGATTCAGGACCACTGCTAGTCAAAGTTGTAGGGGAAGGACAATTTTTTTCCCTCTCTAAGTCTTGCCATCTTTGTTTAAGCATTGTTTCTTTTCTTTTTTTGTGTCTGGTACGTAGTGCCTATGTGGTAGCACCTGACTGCCCAAATAACCCCTTCAGAAGCCCATGAATCTCTTTCTATAGACAGCAATCTGTGTTTGGGAATATCTTTGCTATCCTTTATCAAAATCACCTCCACCAGATCTTACTCTCTCTTTTAATTGTCTGTATTCTCAAACCCAACTCTAATTTCTACAGAATTCTTTGCCTACTTTCTTCACAGGTGGGTGCCAAGCACCTAGACGGGGAGAGAGTGCATGGGATGAAAGACTAAGCCAGTGTGTGACGCTATAGAGATGGTCATAAAGGCTTAAGACGGAGATTCCAAGAGACATGGGCAGCACGAATGGTATTTTCGTCCAACGGAGTGTTTGAAAACATTTTTTGAAAATTGGAAGCATTCATTTAAAAAATCCCTTCCTGGCTTCTCTAGAAAATGTAGATGTGGTAATGATGACTGCCCTCTCTCAGAAGAGGCATGCCTTCCCCTGTATCCGCCACTCACTGTGGGTCCTCCCACAAGAAAGTGTGTCAGTTCCAGAATGGAGAAACTAGAAATAGAATTTCCAAATGTTTGAAGGGTTGTTCCTGACCTAAATTCTCTCACTTGTTGGAGACCTTGGCTATTATCGTTTCTGGCTCTAGTCTGAAGACATGTTCTTTGTAGCAACATGTTTACATGTTTGCGTCGATCAGTTTGAAGTCTTCGAATAGATTATCACATGGTTGGTGCCAGCAACTTTCCTTGTGTGTACATAGACCTTATGTTTAAGAAACAAAGGGATCTCGAGGTTCTCCTCATTTTCTTGGGGATTCTGTTCTCCAAACCCTAAGAAGTCTTGCAATGGGCATTGCCATTGTCATACCTCTTTTTACATTTCTCCAAATTACCATATTCATAAAGTTATTGCAGAATCTTATCTAATGCTGAATTCAATTGGAATTGGTCCCTGGCAATCATTGATACCGACTTGGCCATGGTCCACCCAGCACAGTGTTTGAGTAGCCCACCTCATGACGGAGAATGGCTGAGGGGCTCCAGGAAGAACGCTCAGGCCTCGAAGGACATGCCTCTCCTGTTTGACTCTGTATATAATATAAAATCACTGGACAAGAACAAAGCACTCGTTGGCCTCACAGTTTGTAACTGTGCCCTTCTGGGAAACTTGATGGCCTATGAGAGACACAGGTCACTTCTCTGCATCTGATTGGCTGAGTGTCAGACCAATTCATAAACATTCCTGCTGGGAGAACGGAGAAAATCATACAGTAAAAGATGACCATGTCTGTGACTTAGCTGTACCAAAAGAAAAGGGGGGTGTGCATAGCAAAGCCAAATTGTTCTAATATAAAACAACCAGGCATTTAGTCGAAATGTTACATTGAGAGATATCTGTGTATAATCTTAGTCTGTCTTCTTCAGTTTATATTCATATTTTAAATTTAAAGTTTTATGCTGTGTTCCTTTTTTATGCAGCCTCTATTCACTATTAATCTAAAATAATTCATTGAACATATGGGCACTTTTTCACATTTGAGGCTACAGCAGAAATCAAACCTGAGAAAGTCACCCATCTCCTGGAACTTACATGGTTGTTTATAACAAACAAGCAAGTGAGTCACCCAACAGCTATGTAGAGGCCAATCTAGAGATGTCCAGAAAGGGAAGCAGCCTTAATGGTAGAAGAGTTAAGTGGTAGGCTGTTAATTTCAAGGTTGGAGGTTCAAAACTGCTTAGAGGGAGAATGTTCTGGGGATCTACTTCTTCTTTTTTTTAAATCATTTTATTAGGTGCTCATGCAACTCCTACCACAATCCGTACATCCATCCATTGTGTAAAGCACATTTGTACATTCATTGCCCTCATCATCTGGGGATCTACTTCTGTGAAGTTATCCTCTGGGAAACTGGATGGAGCCTTTCTACTCTGCTACATGAGGTCTCTAGGAATACAAAAAGTGACTGGGTGGCACTCACAGGAACGACAAACGGAAAGGTGGCATTTGAACAGAGGCCTGAATGAAGTGAGAGAGTAGGTCTTGAAGGACAAGGATGGAACGTTTCAGTAAACAGGAAAGGCAAGTGCAAAATGCCTCAGGTGCAGGGGGCAACCTTTAAGGGACTCACCTGCCTGACACAGGTTACCTTCTGTTTGCCTGTCCTGCTTCCCTCAGCTCCTGAGCACCCTCAAGGAAGTTCACAGCAGTTTGAACCTCCTTATCACTCTTACTAACTGGGGTACTTTCTCTCACATAAGCAACAGCAAGCTGTCCAGTGAGACTGGACAGCGGGCAGCTGGGTGGAGGGAGAAAAGAGGACGTTGGTGGCAGCCACAGGTCAGACTCATCAGGCTCCACAGGACTTAGTGGAGAGTTTCAATTTTGTGTCAAGGGCAACAGTAAGCTTTTTGCAGGCTTTAAGCAGGGAAGTCACTTGATAAACATTTACATTTTATAATCAGTGATGAGCTATCTAGCTATCATTTACTGAACATATTTTGAGTTAAGTACTTTACAAGAATCCCTGGTGGCACAGAGGTTCAACACTCAGCTGCCAAACCAAAAGTCAGTGGTTTGAACCTCCCAGCTGCCCTGCGGGAGAAAGATGTGGCAGTCTGCTTCCTTAGAGACTGCAGCTCTGGAAGCCCGTAAATGCAGCATACAGTGTTGCTATAAGGCAGACTCCACTCGACCCTGATGGGCAGGTGTTTTACAGATACTAACCCCACCCCACCCCCAGATACCCCAGTGACATTGAATTGATTCCAACTCAGAGTGACCCTGTAAGAGAAAGTATAACTACTCATTCTGGGTTTCCAAGGCAGTCAATCTTTTTTGTTCTTTCTGATCATTTTATTGAGGGCTCTTACAATTCTTATTAAAATCCATATACCAGTGATATCAGGCATATTTGTACCTAGGTTGCCATCATTCTTTTCTGGACAGTTACTTTCTGTTGAGCCCTTGGTATCAGCGCCTCAAGGCAGTCCATCTTTACAGGAGCAGAAAACCTCACCTTTCTCCAGTAGCACACCAGGTGGATTTGAACTGCTGACCTTGCCGCTAGCAGCCTATCCCACAGGAGTCAAACAATAAAGCGGCGAGGTTTTAAAATCCTTTGATGACTTTCTGTGGACCATCCCAGTGTCACCTTTCCACGTGATATCTTTTTTCCTTCGTGTCACACCCCTGAGGCGTAAACTAAAAGAATCTTAAGCCCATGTGCATTATGGTTTGACTTGCCTGTTTTTCTGGATATGTCTAAGGTATAGAAGTGATATCACAATATTATCACCTAATTATAGAAAAGAATATTTTAAATCTCCTAGGTAAATACTCCCCACAGAGCATGGCTTCTTAATCTGGAGATTTGGCATTGTATTTCAGTACCCTTGACTTCATAAGTAATTAGTGTTTGTTTGTTTGTTTGTTTGTCTTCCCCCAGGATCATTTAAAAGCATTCTGAGAGACAGTAAGCTTCTCCAAACTGCCAAGGGGCCAGCTGGGTCAAGGAGGCTGTGCATGGACCCCTGCTTGAATCTCAAGGGGTTTCCAGTTAGCCCAGATGTGTTGCAATTTAAATGTCAATGCCTTTCACTCTCAAAAGTGCCCCTCCTGGAGCAATCCATTATAAGATCCACTGGGGCTCTCACTGTTAGCAGAGAGCCTGGTGGTCTGCGTAGCATAAGTGATCTAAGCTGGACACGTGGTCAGGATTGCCAGCCCCGAATTCAGACTCACTGCAGCCATAAATGACTGGGTTCAAAGCAACCAAATGAAGCAAAGAATATCCTGTAAAAAGATGCTGTTTTAATAATACTCATTTCTCTTTTACAGCTAAAAAGGAGCATAAAATGGAAGAAAGTCACTTGGAGAATGCTCAGAAGAGGTAAGCAGTGCTGACTGGGCCCAGTTCTTTCCCTGAGTTGGTCTCATTAAGAATCTATCTGCATGACGAAGAACATTCTCCAGAGAGATGGAATGGGAGCATGTAACAGGAACCAGGGAAGCAGGGAACAATTCCGGAGTGAGGGGCCTAACCCGACACGGTCCGCAACACCATTCCTGTCTGTCTGCCTCTTCGCCATCACTCTACTCCTTAACTGCTGCCAGGAAATTTCAACTATCTGGTCCCCCCTGGTGGTGGTACACATCAGACTGCTAACCGCAAGACCGGCAGTTTGAAACCAGCACTTGCTCCTCAGGAGAAAGACGGGACTTTCTACTCTTGTAAGGGGTTAGAGTCGAACCGCAGGGGTGGTTCTACTCTGTCCATAGAGTTACCATGAGTCGCCGCCAACTCAAGGACAGTGAGTTTGGCCTTTTATCATTTTAACCGATGCCACTATCGAGTAGGACTGGCCTTCGGGGGTTTCGGAGGCTCTAAATCTTTGCTCTAGCAAAGAACCTCATCTCTCTCCCACTGAACAACTAGTGGTTTCAAACTGCTGACCTTGTGCTTTGCCATCCAGTGCCTACCCCAGAAGGCCACCAGGGCTCCTCCTATTCTACGACACGAGTTATTGGGAACATCTATGGGACTTCTGTCTCTCTCCACATCCTAGAGTGTATTGAAAACAGGCCAGGGTGGAAGTAAGAAGGGGTGACGGGAAAAGCAGGCTCACAGCTACACAGAGAACTCTTCCAGAAAGAAGCCTCTGAAGTCCTCAGCCTCAACGCACGTCAGTCTCCCCTCATTGTTCCGTCCCTTCGGAGACACCAGAGTACAGACATCCTCCCATCAGAAAGCAAGAAGCAGGGAGTGTGACCCCTTGGGATTTCTCTTACCGTCAGCTGACCAATTCAGTCTCCTGGGTCCTATCTCCCTTTTAGAAGTGGTAAGTGGGCAAGTGCTGCCATGGTTCTCAGCAGCAGCACAGGGAACTGAGATTGATTTGACTGGTGCCAATTCTAAAGGTAGTAGAAGATTAAAAGAGAAGTCCTGATTGGGCGCGGCATATAAGGACCCATGGACCTCACAGACAGGTGGAGTTAGCGTTTTCATGCAGTCAAGCAGACCCCAGGAGAGAGCTGTTTCTCTCCTGAAAGCACAGTGTGCCTTGCCGTGAGGTCTGAGAGTTCTAAAAGCCCTTGGAGAGTCTGGTCTACCCACTGTAATTGCCAACAAATTGAAAATGTTGATGAAAGAAGGTGGGGCGACTCTCACACTTGTCTACGTGAAGATGTGTCTTCAAATGATTCTTGTCCAGCTGTCACCATGGTAACTGATGACTGAGTTAATGACTTGGCTCTGCTCCTTTACATTTTTATGCCCTTTTGTTGGTCTTCCCCATTCTGTGGATAGCACAAACAGTAAACACACTAGGCTGCTAAGCAAAGGGCTGGAGACCCCGGTCTACCCATAGGTAAATCTGAAGAGAGATCTAGCCTTTTACTTCAGGGGAAAAAACACAAAAAAACAAAAAGCAACCATTGAGACCCCTATGTAGAGCGCAATGCTGGTCCGACACATCTGGGGTCACCATGGGCTAGTTTTGACTCAACACAACTGATTATCCCATGTTAAACTTTCCTTCTCAGTGTCTGACACAAGTGTTTCTCTGTTAGGAAAATAGCCCACCTATAGAGAGGAGATCGCCAACAAGGTCTTACTGGTAGGCGAAATAAAAATGCTGCGTCCAGGGAATATGTCAAATTTCCAATATTTTCCCAAGAGTGTTGCTTAAGGAAAAGGGGGCCTGCCTTAGGGGGGTCATGGCTGCTGCTGTGCATTAGCTGTGCTGAAGGGAGTCATAAATTATGGTTGTCAGCATTTTCCGTGGCTTTGTGGGGAAGGTAGTCCAGCTTTCATGCCATACATGAAATATACCCGAACCCCTCCTCGATGTAGAAACCACAGTTGTTGGGTTACACTCTGGAAGGAGGCTGGTGGTCAGTGTTGCAATATTCGTGTGAGATTTGGTAAATTCTGATGTTTCATCCTCAAGAGAAACAATTTACTCTGAGGCTCAGGAATATTTGCTTTTCCTAAGCAGTTTCTCAAGGCCTGCATGTAAAGCAATAGTGGATGTGTTCACTGGGGCATCCCAACACTGCAAAAGTACAACAGTTCATTCTGCTATGGGCTCTTTGATAGAATCATCGTCTGGGCTTTAGAAAACACTAGGGCAAATTAAAGAGATACTAATCAAGCAAGGAGTATGGCAGAGCGACAGAAGAAGGAGTCGGGAATAGCTCAGAGTGTATTTAAAAAAAAAAGAGGTTGTCTAAAACAAAACATATTTCTTAGAGATCAGTCTTTTAAAACCTGAGAGCTATTTTCAAGTTATCTGCTGACAAACAAATTTCAAAAAGCATGGATGACTACCCCTTCGTTTCCCATCTACTAGAAGAAAATTCATCTGAGCATTCATTAAGTATCAGTAATTTTCTTCCCTACGTTTCAGGAGGTTTTCAGTGATTAATCTTCTGGGAATCGGCGTCGATAGCAGTCTAGACCTTATCAGCTACTTACAGATCCCTGCTCTAGCTTTTGGCTTTTTCATGAACAAAGGGCTAAGGCTGAAATCCAGTAAGTCACGTCTTTGGCGCAACATCATCTTCACCCAAGCCACATCGTGCCACCGCCCGGCCGTCCCCTGGAAGCCTGTTTGCTTCGATTCCTCTCGAGGTTTACTTGCTTTCCGAGTTTCCAAAACACAGAGAGGCGAAAAGTGCTGAAGTTCAGTATTTCCTTTAGTCTTCCCTCCCCGCCCCTCTTTGAGGGTTCACAGGGAGGGCTTCACAAATCCCCAGCAGGGAAGGCGGTAAGGGTACAAGGTTAGCCTCAGTTGAGAACTGGGAAAAATCAGGCCCCCCAGGATTGATGAAAAGCCTTTCTCAGACCCTGTAAGAAGCACCAAGCCGCGCTGTCATTCTCTGTCCTGGCACCCATATCGGCAGCACGCTGGTCTCACAATCTAAACTCCAAATAGCACCCCACCCCCGGGTGTGGGGAGGATCCAGGAAGCACAACAGCCAGCTTCTCGACTCTTCTCACCTCCTCCCAGAGAACTAAAGAATGTGTTCACCTGATATAAAAAATGCGTGCTGCACAGACCTGCCAAGCGTTCTTGTTGCATGCTGACAAGGGCGTTTCAGAGGTTTGTGGAGAGCTTGCATTACCTTGTCGGTCCATTTTCCCATGAACTTTTTGAAGCCCCCTCCTATTTACCACAATTCGAGAGGGGGAAAAAACTAATAGGCATTAATGTCCAGTTTACAGAGTTGTTTTCCTGCTAGGACAGGCTGCAGCAGGCAATATAGTAAGTATCATTGGATGATCAAATTAATTATGTGTAAAAGTGTTAGGAGCCCTGGTGGCACAGTGGGTAAGGCATCCAGCTGCTAAGCACACGGTCCCCTTCTACTCCACGGGAGAAAGACAAGGCTTTCTACTCCCCTAAAGAGTGACCGTCTCAGAGACCCACAGGGCCCACTCTACCCTGTCCTGTAGGGTCGCTATGAGTTGGCATTGACTCAAAGGCAGTGAGTTTGGGCTTTTTTTTGTTTTTCAGAGGGGTTGGGATTAAAATTTTTTAAGTAAATGGCTTTCTCTCCTCTGTTAATGCACCCATAGTAATGTATCTGTATAGAAGGTGAACGTGGGGGGGGCGGGGGGGAATGATGTGCTCCAGTGAGGTTAGTGTGTGCCTTGTGCAACATGGAGGATAATTGTATCCACAGTAGAAACAACCAAGCAGAAGATGTGTTTTATTCCTTAAATGCCTGTGTGAGCAAGCATGAGCAAAAGAAGGATGGAGCAGATGAACCAGAGGTTTCAGTGGGAACCGAGGCAAGCCCAGTTCTACCAATAAATAAAGCCATGCAGTCTCTCCGGGTTATCTGTTTCAGATGGACAAAATGAAGAAAGAGTATGAGCCGACACGTAAGCCCCTTTTCCTAAAATCACATGATTCTCTGTGGCCTATGTCTACAAGCTATAATCCCTTTCCTTGCGTGTTTCTGAGCAATAGGAAGGTCACATTAATGTAAGTTCCATTCCTATAGTGTGACACGAAGGTATAGGCTGCAGAGTATAGATGTGATTTTGACAGTATTTTGATAGCTACAGAATTAAGAAGCACCACGTCTGGGGTGGGGAAGTGGTCATGGTGTCTTTCTTCCGGGACGGATTTTGCCCCAACAATCGAAGTATATGTTTGGAATTATAAGAGAGTCCCTTAAGAGATGTCTGCAGTCATTGCCTTGCTCCACTTATACACTTCTAGTCTTTTAATAAGTAGGAGGCAAAATTCCCTGACCAGTAGTTTTCATTTGCATTAGAAACAGATTTATTATTTACAGAAGCACAAAGAATTTATGAGAGTAGGAGCCACAGCTCCAGCTTCGACCTCGCCTAATCACGGCCATGGAATCAATTAACAGTTCATCTGTGACGCGTGATAAAACCTTATGAGATACATATTGCCCAATAACCGAGCGCGAGATGAAAGTATGCTCCAACATGGTAACGGGGCTTCAGGGTTTTACAATCCCCACTGAATAGAGCTCCCATTAGAAACTCTGTATTCAGGATGGCCACAAGCCACGCTGTGTCTGAACAGATGATAGAGCATTAAGTCATAAACCTGGCCAGCCATTCCTGCTTTGATTAGTTTCCAACACCCTAGAAAAGGGGGTCATTTGTTTAAGTGTTCTTGCTCATGGCAAATGAGTTTGGGAGGCTTGGGGTGGGTGTGGGCTGAGGGGGAAAGACTGAGTTCAGAGCTATAAATTGCCGCCAAGCCAGTGCCTCCGAGAAGGACTGCTTGGGAGGCCTGGGTAGTCTGGTGGGTCATAGGCCTTCGTTTAGGAGATGGGAGGTTCTTTCTGAGACCTGGGAAGTGACTGGAACATGTGGCTTCTTTTCAAACCAGGTGGGAGAATTAAAAAATAATTCGAAGGAGATGGTCTTTTATCCAACTCTGCGAGGCTCACGCTTGTCTATTGTCTTATGTCGTGGCTTGCACCGTAGCAAAGTCTAGAAGGTGGTGGTGTTTGGTGGGTTGCCACTGAGTCACGTGCGCTGAGTAGGATGCTGGTCCATCGGGTTCTCAAGGGCGCAACCTCTCAGAAGCAGATCTGGAAGCTTGTTTCCTGAGGCACCTTTGGGTGCCACCAAATTTGGGTTCGCAGTTGAACTGGTTAGTAATCTGCGACCCAGAGGGATGCCTTCCCCCACCTTAAAGTTCATCTCAGCAGTCTCTTGTCCCCAGGAAGTGGAGAGTCAGAGATGCTGAGTGATGGAGGCCGTGCCCCAGGATAGAACCCTCTCTGAGTTTGGGTCCCTTTTGAATGCTCCGGAAGCACTCCCCAGATTAATGCTCCCCAGTGGGCTGTGCCCCATGCTAGAGAAGCAGCATGCCATCGTCTCACATGACGTCATGAAGCATCAAAGGAAGGGCAGATAAATGACTGGGACATGAGATAAAGACCGAACTGAAAACCTGTAACCGACATACCCCTTGGACACAGCCAGGCACACACCCGGGTGGATCACCGTGTAAACTTGCGCTGCTTGCCAACATGCGTTTGGGCAAATTGGTTTTCTGTTGCGTCCCAGCCAGCGGGACGCACGAGCAGGATCCTGGAGGGAAAGACGAACCTGGATGGAAAGAAAGACACGGAGACGTGGAGCAAGACAAATGCTGATCAAGCTCGTTTATTTGGGCAAAGTTAGGGGAATATAAAGAGGAACTGGGAGGTGCATATTCTAATAAGGTGTGCTGCACAGTATCCAATCCAACATGTATTATTATAATGAAGCATAAGAATGTTAACCAATCGGCTATCCATCATATTCTCAATTTGGTACGTCTGTAGTCCAATGAGTGCTTAGTATTTCAACCAATGGGTGAAGGGTGGGGAAGATAACCAACCAAGGTCACGTGGCTGCAGAACAGTTACAGATGCACAATGGTCAAAGAACACTTCGGGGGGAGACGGAGGGTAGCACAGACTGCAAACTGTCTCAGACAGTTTCATAGAACAAGGAAGCTTTGGTGACTAAGATATCTTTTAAGGCATAACCACCTGCCAGTAATTTTCCACTAGGGCCGGTCACTGAAGGACCTTGAGAATGTCTGCTAGGGCCGGCTCCCAACAGTTTCCTGAGACTGAGGATAAACCTGTCACTATCATCCGGGTCAGAGACCAGACCTGCAAGAAACGGCCCTCCTGGGCCCGCCGGGACTTGGCGTTCACAGTTCCTCACCCTCTGATTCACTCCCTGTTTATCTTCCTACCTGTTGCAGTTTCGAAACAACTGTAGGTTATTTTGGGATGAAGCCCAAGTCGGGGGAGAAGGAGATCACGCCCAACTACGTGTTTATGGTGTGGTACGAGTTCTGCAGCGACTTCCAGACGATTTGGAAACGGGAGAGTAAAAACATATCGAAAGAAAGGTAAGGTTCTCATCGAGCCCAGGAAGCCGCCTTCCCAAACCTGGCCAAGCGCGCGCCTGTCTTTCTCGCTTGTCAGTGTTTCCGTTCAGACCACGGCCGGCCAGCAAGGATAGCTCGAGGTTGCCTTGCAGGCAAAGCTGGGAAAGGCTTGCTGTCCACACAGCCGGCACACTCACGTGACCTGATCAGTTACACTTTCTTAACCCCTTCCAATTACTAGCTAGTAAATGAAAGGAGAGTTGTGCTAATTTGCAACAGATTGCTTCTCTGCGTAGTTTCACGTTGGCCCAGCCTAAATGAGGCCGTCTTGCTGTCGCAGACAGTACGGACAAATAAAAGTGAATGCTTTTCCCATTAATATACTGAACTTGCATCAAAGGGAAATCCCCGAGACGCGGGCCACACTTAACACGGTGTTGAAACCCCGCGCTCGATTTACAGCACCACTTCGGACTCCCCGTATCCTGCTGCGGACATCAAACTTCATGCCGCTCGGCCCCACTGCAGCCCCCTGAGTTTATTAGTTGGGGGGGCGAGGGGAAACCTCGGCTGTGTGTATGTGTGTGTGTGTGTGTGTGTGTATTTGTGTAGGTAGGGTGGGTGTTCTGCCTGAGACTGAATCTGGCCCGTTGGTCAGGAAAACTGAAAAAGCACTCCTGCTTGCTCGCTGGTTTGCTCAGGTTGCCACGGTCTACAAAGGGTGTCATGGATTTAAACTTCAAACAGGTCTCACCACTACCCCTGCAGAGCAAATGTCTAGGCGTGTCACTCAAAGTGGAGTGGAAGGAGACAAGAGAGGCTGTGAAATAAGGGAAGGGCAGGGTATTTAAATAGAGCATCTAGATTTCACTGCACAGCCAGAGGGGAAATCCCATCATGCTTGCATTTGCACCTTTAGGTTTGTAATCCGAGAAAGGGTATGTGCATATAAGTGATAGATGTATGCACACACCACCACAAACAGTCATAGGTCTCACTCCAAGAAATTGTTTTAAAGAGGATCACCATTTAGAGATGTTGAGCCAATGTTACCGAGTCTCTGGATTTTTCTCAGGGAATTAGGAAACAAACGTTCCTGCAGTCCAAAGAAGTTGGACAGGTTTGAAAAATATGCATCTCCCCATCTTCCAACTGTTAGCTCCTTGGGAACGTAGGGATGAGGCTGGGCATGTCCATCATACAGAGAAACAGAAGTGGAGACCCTGTTCAGAAAACAGGTGGTTGTTAGCAATACGGAAATGTCCTAGAGATTCGTGCTTCTCTCTCTGCCACTACTGAGTAAGCCGGGGAAGTGAGCTCCACGGGAAGGCTTTCCTGGGAGCACTTTGTATCTCAGGAGCCTCTGAGGTGAGTGGTTGAATCTAGCTCCTTGGCCTGTAACCAGGGAGCCAGGACCATCTTGTGGCTGCAAACCCTGCAGTGTGTGTGCTCTGAAACATGCACCCTTTGCTTAAATGATCTTAAGATTGTGGTCTTAAGTCACCCTCAGGTTTTGTCTTGTTTTGTTTTCATTTATGGGCATATAATATGAAAATCATACCATCCATTGGTTCACTCATATTATGAAGATTTGTACAATCATCACCACAAATGATGGTAGGACATTCCCTTCCTCCCCGTACTCATTGGTGCTAGCTCCCCGTTTCCCCCGACCTCCACTGCCATGCTCTCTGGGCACCATTGATCCAGGCACTGCCTTGGCAGATCTACCTATGCTGGAATTCATATGCAGAAAAAAAACATTTTTTTTTAAATAGTTAAAAAATGAAACAGAAAAACCTCAATCGAAAGGAAAACAGGAATTATTAAAAATAAGAAAACAACTTTTAAAAGGGTCAGAAGGGCTGCACAACCCTTGGAGAATTTGGCCTTGAAGCCTTAAAAATGGTTGAAAACACACATAGACACATATATAGAGAGCAGAGAGGACGATGAACTGTTTCTCTTTTTAATAATCTCTTCCAGTACTGAACCCTGTTCCAAATTAAGGAGTGCTCCCCAATTAGAGACTTTGGACCACTTGAATTGTGGGTGGGCAGTGGTGGGTGGCTGTGGGGACCCACTGTCCTTCTGAATGGCATGTGTTCTGATTCCCAGTCAAAGGCATTAGCAGCCTTGCTTCCTGGGTGCAGCTGGCAGATTGCCAGCTTCACACTCTGTAAACCAACACTTTTAAAGGGTCCTGACTTCACAGGACCCCTTCCGTTCTTCTCCTTGAGCCCTCTCAGGGATCTCTGCGTTGCGGTCCCAGGCTCTGCGAGGTGGGTCCCCAAGGTTTCTGACCTAAAGCAACATCCCTGCAAGTTAATGACAGCCAAGAAAAATATTTTTGGAAGCAACATGTTTAGAAAAAATCTATTTGTTAAAAATGTTACCACCTTACATATATACGTGTATGTGTGCGTGTGTGTACTTTACCCATTTAAACAAACTGATTCGTACCCAGAGTTTTCTTGTGATGTGGGGAATCTTTTTGATTGTACTGTCTTCTTAGGATTTTTAGCTTTTGGCTTATTAGAATTGCATATACGCTGTGGTAAAACAGGTCAATGAACTTGCATTCTTGTCTTATAACTAAATGAGAAACAAGATAAGCATTGCTTTGCTTTCATACCTATTTAATGAAATTTGATATTGTGATTTCAAGTTATGTTTTTTCTAGAACTCCAATAAATTTAAGCAGCCCTAAATATCTGGGGGTAGCCTAACATCATTAAATGAATAGTAAGAACAAAGACACCCTAAAAGACTGAATCCACAACCAAATGGAAACATGATAGCTTAAAATTATTAGAAAAGAAAACTATAGCTCTGGATCTCATTAGAAGAAATGTAATCCAATTGATTTTTAAATTTATTTGAAAGCCAACTAAAAAAATCCCGCAAAAGTCATTGGGAAAAATCAAGGATTTAATATAAGTATTTTCAAAGGAACAGATTCCATCGCAAATGATGTTTTCTTTTAAACGCTACTTCCAAGTAAATGTGTTATAAACTCATTTAAGCCATTTTAGGCTAATGTGAGGTGCAAGAAAATATTTACTTCTTTTTCTGCTTAGCGTGGTTTCCGTGAATACACATTACCTTAATGCAAAATTGAGATGGATATGCCTCCATACAGGGTAATGACTGCCTCAGAACAGTGTGTAAACACACGTATGATGGCGTAAACAGTCTTCAGGGTTACTGCATCGTGTCCAAATAACAGGCATAATTCTGCACGTGCAGAGAGAAGAAATGTCTTCTTGGGAATGTGGTTTACCTGCTGATTATCCACGTCAGGAAAACAGCAAACTATTAAATGAGTGGGCTTCAAAAGTTCGTGAAAAAACTCCATTGTGTTTTAATTCAATATCTCCATGTACTTTTTGAAGCCCTTTCTTCTTTTTTTAATCATTTTATTGGGGGCTCTTATAACAATCTGTACATCCATTATGTCAAGCACATTTGTACATATGTTGCCATCATCCTTTTCAAAACATTTTCTTTCTACTTGAGGCCTTGGTATCAACTCCTCATTTTTTTCTCCCTCCCCCACTCTCATGAACCCTTGATAAATTATTATTTTCATATCTTACACCATCCGCTGTCTTCCTCCACCGACGTTTCTGTTGTTTGTCCCGGGGACTGTGGGGGCAGGGAATGGTTTTACATCGCTCATTGCCATTCGGTTCCCCCTTTTCCCCCCCACCTTCCCCCTACCCTCATGGTATTGCTCCTCCCATTATTGTACCTGAGGGGGTTATCTGTCCAGCATTCCATGTGTCAAGAGCTCTGATCAGTACCAGTGCACAAACTCTGATCTAGCCGGATTTGTAAGGTGGAACTAGGGTCATGATAGTGGGGGGAAGAAGCATTAAAGAACTAGAGAGATGTTGTATGTTTTATTGGTGCTATACTGTACCCTCGCTGGCTCGTCCCTTCCTTGTGACCCTTCTGTGAAGGAATGTCCTGTTGTCTACAGATGGGAATTCCTTTCATGTCATAATGTATGACAGCATTAAATTTTCTTTTGGCCTTTAAACCAATCTTGGGCAAAGTATCTTAGCACAGTGCCTGGATGGTGCTAATGGTTAACACGCTTGGCTGTTAGTCCAGAGATTGATGGTTGGATCCCACTCAGAGACAGAACAAAGACCTGGTCAAAAATCAGCCATTGACAACCCAATGCAACACAGCTCTACTCTGAGCACATGGAATTGCCACGGGTCAGAATCAACCTGACAGCAACGGATTGATTGGTATGTAGGCACAAATCCAGAAGGCCTCACGTTCTTAGATCTTCACCAGGAGCAGTACTGGTGCTGCCCCTAGGGCCGGGGGTGGACGACACTAATTCCCAGAGAATTACCTCTAGACAGGGAATCAAAAAATCAAATGATTACTCATTAATCTTTAATTCGTTATGCAACCGTGAGTGACTCAATTAGGATCTGCAGGGCCAAGTCATCAAATCTGTGAACAGTGTGCATTGGGATGAAGTAGAAAGGAAGTTCTTTTCCAGCTCGAAGCTTCCTTAAATCTAGAAGCCACCTTTCAAATACACCCGCTCCTCACTTATTGACATGGTTAAGTTCAAAAGACCAGGTCGTTACATGTCTATTGGCATTACACAAAAGTGGGGAATTGATCACATCAGATCCCCAAATGGAGGAGGGTGACACCATTATATCACTGAGAAGCATCGCCCAACCAAGTTGACCCATAACTTGAACCATCACCATGTTCACTACACTCTTGGTCAGAGAGTATAATTTTTATCATTGTCGTAAATACAAATTGTTGATAATGCCAATATAGTCGCTAAGTGAGGAGTAAGTATATTCCGAGGAACTGTGTGTTTCATTTCTGAGATAATTCCCCTCATCTCTGTCCTTGAGGTCATTGGAAACCATATTGGAGGGCATCTTAAATCAAGTTCTGGCAGATGAGCGATCCTTCGAGGACAGAGAACATTTTCACTCTTAGAACTAACTGCTAGATGTCTCCAGCGACCTGCC